ATCAAAGCAAGCCTCAGCAAAAGTGAGGCCTTAAACAACTCAGTGAGAACCTTTTCTAAATAAAATCCAGGTAAGCTGCTTATCTCCTAAGGCTACCTTTGGAATTAAATGACAAAATTCCTGTAAAGTGAACTCTGTGCCTGACCCAAAGCTCTCAATGGTTCACTAAATAAGAGATGTTGTGCAAGAATGGAAACGGGTAGGTCGTGCTCTCTGACCACCTGAAAAGTAGAGTATGCTGGGAGGATCAGGAGTGGGGAAGAAACCACAGGAGAAGTTTCCACTGAGGTGCACATAAGGTGTCCCCCAAACCCTTGCACTGTCTCTGGCAGGGGCAAATGCAAATTGTGCTGCAGATCATCCAAGATTCAATCTTCCCTCATGTAAAAGAGCATGCTGTGCGAATGGAGGATGATCCCCATGTGCAGAAGGACACCTACTGTGCCCACCTCCTACCTGTGAGTGTCAGAAAAGTAGGGGAGACTTCAGTGGCCCAATGTGCAGAGTTGGCCGCCAGTAAGTTACTGTCTTCTAGACAACATCCCAGACTCTCTTATTGGGGGAGATTGGAGATGGGTACAGGGATGGAACTCAGGAGCACTCAACCAGTACCCTTTTTTATTTTGAGACAAGGGCTCCCTAAGTTGAACTTGTGATCCTCCTGCCTCGGCCTCCTGAGCGGCTGGGATAACAAACTCTTAATAGCATATGATTTTGAAGGTGCTGATGGGACATGGAGGTCCTATGTGGATGCACAAAGGATGTAATGTAGGTTTGGAGTGGAGTCGGGTACTCCGGAAGTGAGGGCAGTGTGACACTCCATCCTCCCGGTCAGACAAGGCCCAGGATCCTACAGCGGATTCACAGTAAGAGTCAGGGCTTATCTGTTGGCACTTTCCTGTTGAGATCTACCAGATCCCTGAGGTTGGGGTTTGGATGTGGAACAACACCAGAAAGCTCCTGTATTGAAACATCGTCCCGATGATGGATAGATAGGAGGTGTCCCTCCAAAGCTCAGGTGTGAGACAATGCCATAACTTTCAGAGGTGAAACGATTGGAAGGAGAGCCTTAACCTCATCAGTGCATTGGTCCTCTGATGTGGATTAGCTGCGTGGTAACTGTAGGCAGGTAGAGAGTGGCTGGAGGAGGCAGGCGGTCAACCCAATGGATTAATAGTCATCCAATGAATTCATTGTTAGGTATTTTGTTCACTATGATGAGAAGCTAACGTACCACTCTCTCCCAAGTCCACGTAAAGTTTAATAACTGTGAAATCCTTCCACGGTTCACCTAACTAACAACAAAGAGTCTCAAAGGTACAACCTTACTGAAACTGCATTTCTTTTCCTGTTCTTTTAATTTTTTTAAAACAGTTGTTTCACAGAAGAGTTGGAAAAAGGCAAAAGAGATGCTATTAACCAATCCCTCTCCCCGATATTATTGTACATTGGGAATTTTATACATTTCACTTGAGATCTCAGAGGAACTATTAAGTATTTTGGATTTTTTCCCCCTCGTCATTAGCTAGCATTGATGATATAGTCCATGTTCTTTAATCGTATATCTTTGTTAAAAAAAAAAAAATCTGTATTTTCATTCCCTCTCACCCCAGGTCCAGAAAAGTAATCAACACAGAAACACATGTGGAGAAGGAGAAAGGGAAAATGAATCAGCCTGTTCCTGGTGTGCTGCCCTGGGATCATGAGTGATCATTAGAAGAAAGAGAAACCCTGGTCCTCCCTGTCCTCTGTCACTCACAGTTTGCTAGATTGTTTTAATAAGGGCACTCCTGCTCACAGGCAGCAATACATTCCAGTTACTCCATTGTACCTGTGCCAAGAGGCAGTATTCATATGCAAATCAGCCATCCCGTTCAGCCAAAGTAAGGAACCCTGGAATTAGAAGAATGGCACCAGGTGTGGCAGCCTCAGGAAACCTGCAATCCCAGCTGGGCTTCAAGGATGTGTTGCTTTGCAGGTGACTTAATTACACACTGCATAGTCCTGGTGGGAAATAGAAAATCACTGTCCCACCGCGCTGGTCTAGTTGCTTTCATTAAAGGCAGCTTTGGTGGTTGGTGGCCACACTGGAGTCATGGGGGAAGAAAGTTGGCTGACTCTACCAACGGGTGTGTGGCAATTGCCCCGTCATCTGTCCCTGGAACAAAGTTGTCCTTTGTTGTCTAATTAATTAGTTGTCCTTTGTTGTTTAATCAATTATTTTTTTGGCATTGTAGTTGTTTTTGTTTAAAACTGTAGAGCCTGGAGTGCGGCTCTGAGGTAGAGAACTGGCCTGGCAGGCACATTCTTCCCCCTCACCACACTCACAAATAATAAAACATTAGAAGGACAACACTAACCACTCTCATAGGATTGCAAGGAGAGCCACGGGGTCATGGATGCTAAAGCACTTTGGAACTGAAAATTTTTATACAAAATGTCATGTCATATTCAACTTTTGTTTTCTTTAAAACTAATGAAAGTGTTTGTGCAAATGGTAGAGTCAAGATTACACACCAAACAATTCCACTTAACCTGGGAGCATCTTTGCATAGTCTATTTGATGGTCACTAAAGCTAAAGACACCTAGAAGGCACTGGGCATGTGCCCCCAGCTCATCCCCTAAGCTCATCACTGGCTCCACTCCTCCTCTTCACCCTCCTCCCTCCCCTGCATTCTGGCAGGACAATGCATCTGAGCTAACTGAGGTGTCACAAACACTCAATGGAACTATAGGCAGACAGCTCAGCCTGTGGTCAATCCTTAGAACCTGTGATGATCAGAACGTCATCCCACCCAGTCATTAGGTGTGTTCTGACAGGTGCATTTCAGTACCTGAATGAGATTAAGCAAAGTCCAGGAACTAAAGATTTCCCTCCTGATTGCTATCATGTGATGAACAGCAGAGGCTGCTTTTTAAAAGGCAGTTACTTTGTGAAGACTGACTTGGGGACCACATCAGGAATGCTGAGCTTCGCTACCATTTTGTTCCTAAATGAGCACATGACTTGGCACTTGTTTCATCCACGATTTTCTCCATTGTTGCACCTCAGAGCTCTGAGGAAATGTTTGAAGTTTTGCCACTTATTTTGCAATGGAAATGGAAAGAAGAGAAATGAAAAACAGTGAGGCATGCATTGTGTGCTGAGAATGCTACACAGGTATTTCCACCCACATTATGATTTTTTATTTCTAAAAGCATCCAGTGATTCAGCTTTATTGCATCCATTTTACTAATGAGAAAATAATAAAACAATTAATTTACATACATGTAAATAGATTATTTTAAAAATCAGCTCCCCTTTCATTTTTCTAATCTCATCCAGGAACATATTCACATGATTTATCAATCACTTAGTGCTTTTTGTTTATAAAT